CGTGAGAAAATATATCTGAAGGCCTTTTAAAGTTCTGTAAGCTTATATCAAACCTGATACTAGGTCAGATCATTGACTCAAATCTTACAAACGTGCAAAAACTTGCCGCATAAACTGTGCTCGACTTCATGAAATTAGATATAACAAAAACAAACATCAAATACAATAATTACTCAGGCTTACCATTCGAGATTCAGTTCCTGAAAGATATCAAGGAAGGCCACAGTTGCTTGAGACTTTTAAACCCTCTTACGCATTAAGCAAGGTGAAAAACAAAAACGATGCCATCCGAAATCGGATTACCCAATTTTGACAAGCGACGCATTTCTCAACCAAAAACCCAATAAACAAACCAACCATGGATAACAGAAGACTCCTGTTAGTAGCTGTATTTCATTTTGTACATCCAGTGGAAAAAGACAGCTGAGACAGCTAAAAACATCACAAGTTGACACAAAACTCTGTCAGCTTCAGCTGTCAAAGTAAACAACTTTCAGGATGCTGTATGAATTTTCCGCATGAACTCACCTGTCAAATTTTGACCAATCAGCGTACACAAATTGGGCGTAGAGCGTGACCAACGCGTGATCATGGTAAGAAAAGGTCTTCCCGCCTGTATTTTTAAAAAGCTGGCTAAATTTTCGCGTCCGAGGTGAGTTTGAAATCAAAATCTTGACAGTGCGGGGCCATAGTGACAAAAACACAACACATTTCATATGAATCATTGGAAAAAATAGACTTGAGCCTGCGATCATTTGAAACTATTAATTTGTCAGCGGATAACTTCAAAAAAGTACTCGACTTCGATGGGTCGACACTCGAGCCCGCGGTACGGTCAGGTGATATTGGTCAGCGGATATCCTGTTTTGACAGCTGTCAATTGATCACAACATTGATGTGCAATTAGCCTTTCTCTTAAGCTCCCAAACTAGCTAGAAAGTGTGAGAGTAAACATTGGTTTCCCTGTGGTGTGGACGGACGGTCGGGCGTACGGTCACGTGCTTACCAAATTTTCTCGAATGGGTAGATTACCACATTACCTTAGCTATGGGGCTCCGTCCACGCGCGCGCTTCGCGCGCGGGTGGAGCTCCGCTATTAAGCAGGTGTCAGTAAATTCAATTCAATTCGATTCAATTTTATTATTCACACTTTATAAAATATTTACATTATATATAGTAAGGTAGGAATACACTAATAAAGGAGAAGAAGAAGGAAAAAAAAAAGAAGATTAATGGCTTGGTTAGAAGTGTACGGTGGTCAGAGGAGCTTAGCTTTCGAGCTAACCACCGCTATGTTATGACTGGGAATACATAATAAAGCAGGGTTTGACTGTACAAGTTCCTGATCTTATCCCGGTACAGATCAGGACTGAAGAGGATCTGCTACGCATAAACCTTTCAGACTGTTCATACTTCCCTCTCCCAAAGATTGTCGAGATCGAGCACTTACCGTTACGGGCCGCCATCTTGGTTTTAAAATGTACCGAGGAGCTGGGCGCCAGGTCTAACCGTCCCCCACTCCCTAAGTGTATTTGATACTCATACCCGGGCTAGACTCGGTAAATAGACGACCGTGAACAGTTCATAAACCTTTCCGCATTCCATTGTTCCATTCCAGTGAAACGTGCTTGGGATTAAATTTCATACAAATCACTGTATTTTGTCAATAGACCTCTTAGACTGCAAAATAGTCTTCCTTTTTCTCCAAATCGGTTTTCCAAGGTACGAAGTGCTGGCCTGGTCGACATTTTCGCGCGTGCGGCGTGTGTCTCTCTGCAGTCTCACTCTCCGTTTTCATCCTCACTCCAGACCTTTCCTTTGACTGCTCGCGCGCGTTCCCGTGCATGCACGTGTATAATTTATGGGAAGGCAAAAGGTAAATTCCTGCATTGCCTGATCTGAAAACAAAACATTCAAGGTAAACAGGTCTTTTCAAGGCACAGGTTGGTGACTTCCTTCACAGGAATGGGGGAGAGATCTATCTTTAAGTCCTGCCACAGGCCCACCATCCGAAATGTTTGAGACATCGTGATGTTACGCGCGCTCTTTGATCCCATACCAGTCGTGCGGGTATCTTGTCTACACACCTCATGCTTGATAGATTTCTGTTAGTCTTAAAGATGTCAGTACTCGATATAATTAGATAAACTACGTCGTTCCTATGCGTCTCAAGTGTGTTTGGAGAAACGGAAAACGCAATGAACCATAGTAACGTTTAGCTTTGATGCAAAGGACGCTGGAAAGGGAAATGGAAAAAACGAGATAAATTAGCGTCTTGGTGGACTGCCTACTTGTAAAATACTAAATAACAGCAAGACAAACCGTTGTGAATAAATACCACGATAATTTGGCAATAAAATAAATACTTTATTGACCAAGCTTGTTCGGTCAAGATAGCTGGATTCGTCACTTGCACATCTCCCATAATGCACCTTATTTGGCCCCCAAAATTTTACATAACCTTTCAGGTTGTTTTCCATTTCTCCTGGATATTACAGCC